AAGCTGCAGTCGATACCAGAAAATCCCACAGGAACACACCATAGTAAGAGGCCGGGCGGGCACCCTCACACCAAGGAGGAAGACAGACCTGCAGTCTGACCTAGAGTGGGAAGGGGCTGCTTCTCCCAGGCTGCATGGCCTCTGGAGCTCTGTGACCCCCAGGACCCCCGGGGGCCCGGCTGTGGGCTGTCAAGTCCCACCAGGCCAAGGGCAGGGAACCGGGGTCATGTGCCACCAGGGGCACCTGGCAGTGGCTCCCCGGCACCTCCCAGGCACAGCCTCCGAGGCCTGCTGCAGCTCTCAGGCATTTCTTCTCCTGGCGGGGAGAGGGGTGGTGGAGGAGAGATCCGGCCCAGGTTAGCGCAGCCAAAGCCCCGCCCGCACTCCCCAGGAGCTGCTGCCTGGGCAGGGCTCGCTTCACAGCTCATTTTCCCTCTAGGAAACACAAGGAGCCTTCCTTCCGGCCTCTTGGGGGAAAGAGATGGTTCCCACCCTGCTGCCTGCCTTCTGCACAGCGGAGGGTCTGCTTTAGCCGCTGCCTCGGGCATCCCCAGGACCTGGAGCCACCCTGCTCTCCTCCAGGGACCGCGGCCAGGCTTCACACTGACAGTCCCCAGCTCGCTCCCTTCCCACAGCTTCTGGAAGCTGCTGCAGACAGCTGGGTCTCGGAGCAGCCGGCAGCCTAGTGGCGCCTCCGTGAGTGGTGACACTGAGACTTTCACAAGGGTCTCTTCCCTTAAAGAGAATTGCTTAAACCAGAGAAATTATATCAACTTTACAAGCGTAAGGTTTCCAAATACGACAACCAAATATTAAATACTATTTTTATATTTAGTTTTTTAAACCTACACAAAACATTACAACTAGGCCCATTAATGGGGTGTGCGTGAGGTTTCGATCGTGTGTGCACTTTGCATTGGGGAAATCAGTCTGAACATGGCTATTTCCTCAAGCATTCATTGTTCTTTATGGTGGAAACATTCGGAAGGCCTCTGGGGGCGTGAGGCGGGAGGTTTCTGCCATCCAGGGCCTGCAGCCTGGCCACAGAGCCAGAAACCCTCCCGGCCATGAAGCCATGCTGCCCAGGATCAGCCCACCCCCGTCCCCCATCCCTAGCCACCGCCATCCTGCTCTCAGCTTCTATGAGACCAGTTCAGATTCTACAAATGAGTGAGGACAGACAGTGCTTGTCTTTTTTTTTGGGGGGGGGGACCCTTAATCTAATAGCTACACTAGGCTGAGTGTGGCTGGTAGAGCACTTGCCTAGCATACACCAGGCCAGGGTTCAACCCTCAGCCCCACAACAAGAGAAAAACACACCTGCACCTCCACCTGGTGTCCTCAACCCGAGCCCAGCTAAGTTAGGACCTGAGACTAGCAGGCCCAGAAGGGTCTGAGGGCCTCCCTCTGTTCAGGGGCTGGACCTGAAGGGACACGCCATCTTTCAGTGCTGACTTTAATCCCCAGCCGGGCAGCAGTTCCCCCTTGGCAAGGACGGTGCCCTAGGGCCTCAGAGCAAGGGCAGACAGCAGCCCACTCACAACACACACAACTCCAGCATCACAACACGGCAGAACCACGGCACTCGTGAATCTTCACTAGCAACCTGAGAAACCAGCCTCTACCTCAGAGCAAGGCCTGTCCAAAGGAAGGGGGCGTGACCCTTGTCCTTAGAAAAACCCAGGAGCACTCCTAGGCAGACAGCCCCCCTGCTGAGTTGTTTGTCTGTAAATAACAGGAGAGGTCTGCGTGCCAGGTGTCCCTGACTCAGTCACCATAGGTGAGGACCCATGGCAACGCCCTAGCAACCTCCAATCAGCATGAGACAGGGAAATACCTGGTGCCAGATGACCCCCCAGTAGTTTAGGGTGCTTGATAAATTGTTGGGAAACCAAGTAGTTCAGCACATACACCCCTCGTGGCCTAAACCAATCAGTTCAAACGAATCCCCCTCTTGTACTAACCAATACCTTTACCCAACTTGTTTCCGCCAATGAATATGCTAATCAATGTTAAGAGTTGTTGTTTGACTTTCCTGTGATATGAAATGATTTGCTGTGTGATGTTGTGACACACCCCAAAACCTATAAAATCTCACTGGACAAGGACCAGGACTCACTCCTTAGGACCACTGCATTGGGAACAGTTGTGAGTCCAGGCTCGAGCTTGCAATAAAGACTCTTGTGTGATTGCATGGGACTCAGCTCCTGGAGCTCTATGGGGTCCCACGAATCTGCATAACAAATCAAGGTAGAAAATCTACAGCAGCAGCATACACATAATTTCAACTAGACATTACATGCAAGACAGGAAACAGGCATTCTTGTTTACCACAGGAAGGAAAGCAATCCATTTCATCAATCCCAAAGGGGTCTAGAGAATGGAAAACACTTCCACTACAAACAGGAACTCTTACAGACAAATCTCACAAAAGGACTTCTCTCTTTCAAATGCATGGCAGTGATGCCACTCGTTCTCACCCCATTCCCTTCCACTATCCCAAGCACCAAAGGACTTAAACAGCTGGGGTGAGCAGAGAACAAAAGTGCCCTGTGATCACTGCTCTAAGAGCGGACTACCTATACCCTCCCTGCAGGACCCCAGCACCAGGGTAGGGCTGCTGACCTGCATGGTGGGCACAGGCAGGAGCTCTCCTGGGCAGAGACAGGGGGGAACCTAGGGTGGCTGCTGAGCTACATGGTGGGCACAGACAGGAGCCCTCCTGGGCAGAGACAGAGGAACCTAGGGGTGGCTGCTGAGCTGCATGGTGGGGACAG